GCGTATAGTATTGATTTATGAAAACTATTTTTTACATTTGTTTTTTTTTTTTAACTGTATAAAATATTATAATTTCTAATATTTTAAAGTTAAAAAAATTGAAGCTCCTTTCAGTAAATGTTTTATTTATAAATAAAAAAAACAGTTATTACTAAACCGATACATAGATTTCTCAAAATCTAATTTTTTTTATTATTTACTACTAATATTTCGTTAGGCTATATAACACTGTAGACTAACTATTGGTCAATATTATTATTATTATGATAAATTTGTAGTAACTTCAGAATTCGTATTGCAATGACTAATAAACAAGAAATTTCGACAGGAAAGGAAACGCCCCATGTTTTAAATGCATCCCTATAACTTCTATTATGTAGTCGAAATCGAATTTAATAAACAACGACAAATTGAGATATAAATTAAATTTAAAATGATCAATAAGTACTTTCTAATATTATATGCAATTGCAAAATAATATTATCATCACGGTGATTTAAAAAATTATATTTGGATTTCAATGTTTTTGTAAAACAATTGCCAATATTTTGTTATCACTAGCATTTAAGAAGTTTTAATTAAATCGTTGTTAATTTTTCATTAAGAAGTTGTCGATAGCTATATTAAGAATACCTATGTGTATATACGTCAAAACGTCAGCTTTTGTTTTGCTTACAAATTAATGACTTTATATCACAGTCTTTGAAAGCGAGCAGTATCAATATTACCTTTTGATTTTGATAGATTGTAATTTATAATAATATATTAGCGTAATAATAACGGTAAATAAATAAAAAAAAAAAAAACAACGCGAAATCATCTATAATAATATGATATACCTACTTAACTTTACGCGAAGACTTAAAGCAAAAACTGATGCAAATATTATATTCCATTAATAATCGATTGAGCTGTTGTATGTATTTAAAAATAACTTAGCTAAAAATATCGGCTCATTATATCGTAATCATATTTTAATGGAATATCTGTATTTGTGTAAAACTAAATCCAAAGGTTATAGGAACTCAGTTTGAAGTACAAAATCAATATTGTTCATTCATTTAAAAAAATCTAAATATCTACCAACTTGACAAACTATAGATAAAATAAAAAACGATGACTAGTACCATTATTCCTGTATCGTTTAAGATTTTATAATCACTGATATCATAACCAATAGAATAAAAACACGATCGATTCTATTTTAAATAATATAATTATATTTAAATATTAAGTTTATTTTATTAATTGTATTCATTATTATCCGAAACGATTGTTAATAATGTTAATATTGAAAAAAAAAAATGTAATTACATGTAACGGTAATAACTTGCTAATTGCCAAAGTTGAATTCAGTGATTAATAATAAAATAAAAACTATACTGAGTGGTTAATTTAACGTTAGAAAAACAGAAATTATTTAAAAATCTAATAAAATATTTTAAAAGATATTATTTTTACATAACGTAAAATCATTAACATTAATTTTTAATTCCTTGTTCCAAAGTATAATATTTTTTAATGTACTTTGATAAATAAAAACCAAATTTTAAATGAACAGTTAATGACTAGTTAGAGTTTTGTTGAACAGAATGGGGTAATATATTCTCCGTAAAATGTTGATGTTTTCTTCTTAAAAAATAAAGAGTATTTTCGTTTATTGGATCACTGCGTATATAGAACGATATGATGAAAATCAGGCAGTAATAATAATAGCTATTTTATTTTTGATACCAGAACAGCGATTGAGACGAATATAAAATTTCAAATGAATAGTTCTCAATAGTATAACATAAGCGTGTTTAAAAAGATATTTTTTAGAAAAATTTAGTATTGTCTTATTGATTTGTAAGTTTTTTTAATATTAAATGTTGTATCTGCCATAAGGTTTCTTGAAAAATAAAAACATTTCCAGTACCTACTTAGAAAATATTTTTTAACAAAAATAAATTTAAATTTTTTTTAAATTTTGGGTTTAGAAAATTATAAGATCCACACAATATAAATAATTTATATATTGTTGTTATGGAAAAAATGAGTAATGCATATTTTAAATATGTATTTATAATATAGAAATTGTATTCTGTATTAAGTATTTTTTACTAATCATTGTTTTTTAGGAGTCATTTTATATTCAATGTCCAAACATAATTACGAGTATTTATATACCATGTGCTTAGTATTTTTGATTTAAAAATTATCCATTATGTATCTAACTAATATATAAAATACTAAAAATATATTACCACACCTAATAATAATTAACGAAGACAATTTTTATTCATATAATAAAAAAAAAATAATACAAGTTTGTATTCTTTAATTTAAGTTTTACTAAGGTTTTCAACAGCAGATTTCAATCATGATCTGACTTGTCAAACCCAAGAAATAAATATTATTTGTCAATTAATTAGAATGACATAAGACTATACATTTTGAATTATTTCTATTGAAATTAATCAATTTTGTTTTATTACATTGTAAATTTACTTTTTTTTTCAATATGGGGGGTATATAATGTATATTTTATATTATCTCATTAAAATAAAAAAAAATTCAAAAATACTTATGTTTCCTATCCTTGGATGTGGTAAAATAATTATTCAATATTTTAGTGTGGGTTTAGGTTCAATACGAGGTTATAGTAAGTGTTAAATGAATTAATTAAAATATTTCTAGGACTTAGCCACTTGGTCTTTCTATTAGGATTTTTTAAGCTAGAGATAGTAGGTGTTTTTACACTGTGGTTAATATTATTTTAAATGTTGCTTTGAATTTTTGTAGTGCAGTTTAGGTACTATTTTAGTAACGTTATGAATATTAAGGGTGATGTGGGGTGTGCTTTGAAACGAACGGAGGTGAATTATTTTATGAATTTGAAGAGTTTTTTACTTGTATTGTATTTTTTTGTGTTGGGTTATTTGGAAAAATTCCAATTATTAATATTTTAAAGCATTTAAAATAAATAATTATAAATATTACTATGGTAAAGTAATCTGTGATAACTTTGTCAATTTTCATGCTAATGACCTCAAAATGTTCCAAATATCTACAGATAGATTGTAGAAATCATTGATTTCAATTAAGGAGATATTAAATATTTTATATATTTACTACGTTGAGTTTTTCATTTCACTTTAGTTTTTTTGTTCTTTATTAGTTTTTAAAAATATGTTTTAATGAATATGCTTAAATATCTACATCCGTATAGGTGCTTCAAAATACTACTAAATACATTGTTTTATAATATATATTTTTTATCTCTTCAGTAAATATTTGGAGTCTTAAAGTATTTTTAATAACATTTCTTATGAGTACCTAAGACGAAAAATTAGTTTATACTTCATTGTTAAAACTATATTAACTGTTTAAATACAAATTTAAAATTGAATAATATAGGAAATTAATGAGTACTAGACGATTCAATACGCTATCAAATATAATTTGTTTATAGTGATAAATTATTATTTCGTACAAATTACAGTTAGTATTAATATTTCTAAAATGTTATCCTTTACTTAACTTATGAAAAGTTATCAAATATATCTAATTTTTTTTAATTTGAAATCTAAACTAAATTTGAAGATTTAAGGAAATTATTAATTTTTGTATTTGTATATTTTTATTCAAAAGTAATATAGTGTAGAAGAATGATTGAAAAAATAGAATCACCGTTTTATTTTTCAAGTTAACTTAAACGGATATAACCACTAAAATTGTAAATACTCGCATAAATAAATACAAGTAAATTGTATTAACCAACAGCACTAATATTGTATACATATACAACTAAACAAATTTAACTCGTTGGTTTGGATAGGTCAAGTTTGATTGAGATAGCGTTTAGGATAATAAGTCCATTTCGATGTACGAGTACACTGGTGTAAATTGAGATGTTTTTAGTTAATAAGCCCGACGAACGAGCTCGTATATTACGCTTTTTAATTATACAATCCATCAATAAGTCTACCACATAAATGAAAGTTATAATAAATAAAACAATACTCGTTTTTAATTTTGATTGATTTTAGAGAATATACCTCTATTGTGGTATACATATTATCTACCGAAAATAATAAGTGTTACTTTTTTTTTTCAATGATAACGGAACATTAGCATAAACATCAGTTATAACTTATAATAGTTTCACTAGAGTCATATTCTAAATATTTTTTCGAATTACGCATTCAAGTTAACATTTGAATTTTGCATTTTTAGAAAATTGTGGTAATTTAAACAATTAATTAAAAACGTAAGGTTATCGAATAAACAAAAACAAATTTTGATTTATGAGTTAATGTTTGAATAGATAAAATATTTAAGAGCTTTTGCAAGAGACGAGAAGAAGTTTGTATATAGAACTATTAATCATGGTTATATATATTGCAATCAGTTGATTATTGTCTTGGAATATGATGAAAATAATACTTAATATGGATAACTATTTACTAAGTCACAGGGATTTCGGATATTAATTATCATAGTTAAATAATTTATTAAAACCATGTTTATAATAAATCGAAATGCGTAAACATTTAATTTGAATGATGAAACAAATTAATGTATAAGTACAACCTATATAACATCATTATTATGTATTAATTGCATAATTGATACAATTTTTGTGGTGATCAATATAATTTGTAGAGTGTAAGCAAAAATAGGAAAATTAAAAATTTAATTCAAAAGAAAAAAAAAATCATTTCATTAAAGTATTCATAATTTTTATTTTACATATAATAAAAAATAAGGACTAACAGTTATAATTATCAATTTTAATATTTTTATTTTGTATATAAAAATGAAATGATAAAATATATTTTTATATTATAGGTAGATTTTTCTCTTCAATACAATTTCATTAATTGGTTTACAATAATTTTCTATCGAAGTAAAACATTATTTAAATGCAATTATATTAGGTTGGTTATTTAGGTAATATTTTATTTGAATACATAATTAATATACAAATGATTTTTAAACACAATTATTTGAATAGCTATCAATTATCTTATTTAGTTAAAGATTAAATATAAATGTTTTAGTACGTCATAGGGAATATCATCGTATTTTTTAAAATTTTTGTGAAAAACTGTCAATAATAAGTTCGACATCTAAGTGCACTTGCTTGAGTTTCAAATGATGAAATTGTAAAATATTTTAACGATTTAATTTGATTAAGTTATTACAATGAGAATTAAAATATCTTATTGACGTTGATCAGCTTATTCGATGATTCTTGATTAGACTTCCTTACCATTTGCTAGCGCTATTTGTCCTTCTTAGCTTTATTTTGATTTTTATTAGTATCATCGATCGTATTGATTATGATTTGGGTTTATCACAAATTTCTTTTATCAATATATTTTATAACTGTCTATAATTCAATATTATCAATGGACTATTTCCGATAAATTGTGTGCACAAAATATTATTATTGATGTACTTTGACTTTTAATTTATTCCGCTGTCAATGATATTTACTTTACGATTATTACTTTCATTTTTCTGGAAATAATATAAACCTTATTTGTATTGATTCTCCGGTAACTAAAAACTATGAATATATAAATATAAATAGAACTAGCACATTAATTTGTAATTTATATTATAATTCATACTACGAAAAAAAAATAAATAAAAATATATCAGATATAAACGTGTATTTTAAAATGTTTTGTATATATGATATTCTTGTAGTTGGTTGTAATCTTTAATATACATAGATGCCGCTGATTCATCTTTAAAAAAAATAAAAATATTTTAATGACTACAACTATTTTAACGTTTAAAAATTCAGTCTATTCATACTGTAACATAACACAGTCACAGTGTGATTATTTTGACAGTAACCACTCATAATGTCAAATAATATAAACGTTTTTGAAAATAATTTTTGATATATGACTCTAATTACTTAATTTATAACAAAAAAAAATTTTTTTTTATCATTATTGTTTTTTCTTAAAGTTATTATTTTTACTATCATTTATTCTTATTTTCATAATACTTTAAACTCTGAAGCAGCATACTGATACGTTGCAATCGAATGTTAATACTAATAGTACCTAATCTAAGTTCTATTTCAAAATATTATAAAGTTAATAATGTACTATGTTGTCATAAGTCATTTGAAGAAGTAAAAACTAATGTAATGATAACGATACAAACAAATAATAAAAAATAATTTGTTTGTCAAAAAAAAAAAAAAAATTGTTTCGAAAAAAATTTGAATAACTTAAAATAATTGTGTTTCAAAAACTATAATACATTTTGAAACAATTAATATTTGATGTTCAATAAACCTACAGTATAAATAAAAAAAATATTTTTTTTTTAATGATATTCATGAATAATTATAAATTATTATTACGACATTGTATGCGTGATGTACGTACTATATAACCACCGGATTGAAGAAAAAACGATGATATCAAATTTTTATATAAGCTATGTACTTATGCATAATATTCGGGTATCCCAGCAGATGTTGAATTATCGACTTTGCACTCATTAGTACCCCGCCGAATTTTAAAATATCCTTCGTCTCCCCATGTACTGTTCCATGAATTCATCATCAACCAGTAAGACACGTTTTTTTCGACTCCCCATCCGATACACTTCACAGAATGGCCTCCCAAATACGTGGCATTAGGTGATACCGAATAAACACCTGAAACCGATTGGCATTATGTAAAAACTATATTGGAATAGGCGTCCGCATAGGGTGCGGAGAGTAGGCACCAAAATCTATAAATTTAAAATATTTGATTAATTCACGAGTATATATAATGTATGTATAAACGAATATTTGAAAAAATTTGAAGTGCTTTTTACGATGAGATTTTTTTCATGTAAAGTCACTATTATGTGGTGTATATTTGCTGAGTCTATTTTAAAATATGAAAATTCTTTGTGAGCAAAAAAAAAACCTTTGATATTATAATATGTATATTGTACTAAATATTTTTATATACTTGTATTTATTGAAATTTATAATTTTTAAATCGATATCTATAAAATATAATATAGTTAGAGTTTCTTTGAACGCGGTAATCTCTGAAACTACCAGCTGGATTTAATTTTTTTTCTTTTGAATTTGATAGTTTAATTCATATGAAAAATTATAGGACCACAATATTATCATAATATTATACATTTTTTTATTTTATGGATAGTTATATAATTATTTTTTATTTTTATTTATTATTTGTTTAATAATTATTGATATATTATAATTTAAAATAATTATCAAGAATATATTATTAAAAAAAAAGTTTGTTCATTTAAAATAAATATTTAAATTATTATTATTTTGATGATGGCAGTATAATTTTACTTCAATTCCAAATGTTTTAAATTTAAAATAGAAAAATTAATTATTCAATACATACGTCAGAAAAATTTTAAGCTATAATTTTTATTGTTTTTAAATATAGTATTTAATACTTGAAAAAACTTTTAAATACTTATACTCTAATATGTTTAATTTTGTAAGTACTTTACAGCACTAGGTGTACCTAGTAATAAGTTTAACAAATCACTTTGAATACATTATTATTATTTTTTATTGATACTTCATTTACCTGACTTGTACGATAGAAAATCATCGTAGACTTCAAAAGATGCCTCGATAGGTCCATACGTCATTATATCGTGTTGTATGGAATTGTACTCCAAATTATATGGCTTTTCTTTAACTATAAGTAAAATAAAATAAAATATCAAGTGTTTGTAAAATACTGTTTTTTTTTTTAACAATATTGATGTTACAATATTATTATAGTGATTGTTAATTATTTTAATTAATTGATTATGATTTTATATTGGTAATCCGCCAATAGTTTTAACTCTCATTTTTCTTCTAATAATACAATTTATTAAATTTCCTATGTTTGGGATTTTCGAGATTTTTAAATTTATTTTAATACGTAATGTTTAAACTGGTACTAAGATTTTTTCACGTTTCAAATAAGAATCGCTCATTTAATACATTTTATATAATATAAATTTAAATAAACAAAAAGTTTACAATCATTAACTACTTTTTAACTAACATAAAAATATATGTGAATGTATACTTTAAAATTCAAATTAACTAGTTGGTAATTCTCTCTATATATAAATACTAAATATAACATTTTCATATAAAAATAAGTTGGTATTACATAATTTAATCTTATGTATTAATTTTGTTAATTCAACCACCATATTTTGATGTATTTAAACTTTAACACGAATTTATCTTTTTATATTGTATTTTTTGCATAATATATAATTTATGATAAACAAAGTGACCTATTTAGGTTTTTACACTCAATATTTCAAAAAGTTTTAAATTTTTTGAAAATATTATCTTTACACATAATGTGATATTATTGTCAAATAACATATAAATATATATATATATATATATATATATATATATATATATATATGATATTTATTGTTATAATTTGTAAGTTTTTACTTTATCAAACGATGTCATCCATTTTTAATTTTATATTTCTAAGTAGAATTTTCTTTAAAGTACTTTGATACATAAAATTATTTTTAAAAATACAGATAAGAAAAACTAAAATGTTACGTTTAGTGTTGTTAAGATAAAAAATAAATATATATTTAAAGACAAGAATGAGTATATACGTATTTTAATTACGAAAATGTTAGAAAATCTTTGATATAGCTTAATCTAAATATATATTTATATATATGCGAGTACATACACAAACATATTATTACATTATTATCGTAATAATTTATCGTTTGAGAGGTGAACATAATATTAACATATAATATATAAAATTTTATTATTAAAAAATAATTTTACTATATCTGTGATCATTCCTATAGTTAATAGTCGTATTTCCGTAGCATTTTTTTTGACATTTGTGTTTTTTTTCTGTTTGACCGCTACATGAATCGTTTTCTGAGCATGGTGAAAACTTATACGGCTGGCATCCCTATAACCAGTGTTAGTATTATACAGTATGTTAGTGTATTCATAAAATTTAAAATGAAACGTTCAATTTACTAATTTATCTTATTTTTGTTCAAACTATATGTTTAGTTGTGTATTATAATAATTATTGCCATATACGTTTATTATTATTTTACTTTAAATGAGTTAAAGTTTCCTCCAGTGACCAAACCATGTTTGTAATAATATTTCCAAGCTTTGATAGGATAACCTCCTTGACAACCTAAACCACATTGGTAACAACAAGACGTAACATGTTCGGCTGATAATAATTCATTGAATCTCCCGCTTGAATTTATACACAGACGATCGGCAAACGCCCCAGTTGTACTGAACGCCTATTATGAGATGAGGAAAATTGTCCATGAACATTTTTCAAAAATAATTTAATAACACTATGATCAAAGATAAAATTATTCACCCAACATGAACCACAATTGCCTTGATCACGAATCGTCCTGATCGTCGTACAGTTCTTCCATTGTTTTCTGGCGTCAAATTCTATCGGAATACTTATATTTGTCTTATACAACGGGTCGTGCGATTTAAATGGACCCGTCAACGAGTCTTTCACACCTTTTGACCCTAAAAGTCTCAATATGAATTTCAATGGTGTTTCCGGATGAAAGTTGATACCAGCCTGAATCATAATATTATAATAAAAACACAGCAGTATAATAATAACAATGACATAGCATTTTATTGTTAATCTATGTATTACTTATTTTTTTTTTATAAATTGATTGCAGTATAACGTCATTTTTTTAGAATTAAATTGATAAGTATTTACAAAATCACTTTATGATACTATATAATCATTTAAATATTAAAAAATTATAATCAGTCATGACTAATCGTGTAACTGTTATATTATAAAACTCATTGCAGGTTAATGCAATTGTATAATGACATATCTATACTTACGTCTCTTAAGACATTAATCTACAGATTATTTTTATCAATAGTAGTTTTTTACAATTTTAGCTTGACTTTTTGTAACCTAATTGTTTAACAAACCATTTTTATATAAATAATATTTCATTTTTAAAGCCTAATGTATACTTAGATTTCGGATTGCAATTAAAATAAATCATTATAATATACAATCAAACAGATTTTATATAGGTAAATAAATTCGGACACAACATATTTTATTAAAAGTTTTAGTGTTAAACAGGATTAACATTTTAAGTTTAGTTGATAGAAAAATACAACTTAATTTTACATACAAAATTTACTTGTAGGTATTTAAAACAATTTAAAACAATAAACTATCAAAAATTTAATTTAAACTTGACATACTATACGGATTTGAAATGCTTTATCGTTTATTCATTCTATAGTATAATGTTTAGTATACATTTTTCCAGATATGAAAAAAACATGATAAGTTTTTGAAACAGTAGTATTTAACTAAATAACATAAAATATTTGCAGTTTTTATCGTATTTGTTTCTCATAAATAAATTGGTATTATTTATTTAATCAATATTAATTGCATGATATAGTTGTTGGAATAATTTAAATATTGTTAATTCAGAAATATTTTCAAATATTTTGTACGAGTATTTTATTATATATTACTTTAATTGATTTAATTTTACTCACCAAGAGTTTTATAACTATGGTTATTATTTCAGATTTTAAGTGAACTGACAAATGCTTTTTTTATCATGACATGTATTTGAAAAAAAATATGTTCTACGTGTTGTCACCTTTAGGGAAACATAAATATTTAAAATTTCAACTTTGAGTGTGATTTCGAGTTGTAAATTGTAACTAGTTGATAAAAAGATAAAAAAAAGAAAAAATGTATGCAATAACTTGTTATTTTTATCAACTATTTAATAACGTTTTTCTGGATATAATATAATATTGAAAATATTTTTATTGTTTTTAAGCAATTAATAAGTCCATTTAAAATATTATTTTTACTTAAATTGATCAAATATATTTTTAATCATTTAAAAATTAAATTTAAACAATTAATTTCGTATCTAAAATTCATACAATTTTCAATTTCAATAATAAATTAAGGTTTAAAGATTTGGAATATGACTATCATAAATTTTTCTCAAAAAATCTTAAAAATATTAAAAGTACATAAACGCAATTATTTGGTATACTTATAAAGTTTAAACTTTGATGAAATCGGATATTTAAAAGAAAAATGACGATTTTTCCTTTAAAATTTTTAGTTATTTTGTTGTAATCGAAACTTTCGCCATGAAATATATTATTATCATTTATAAACAATGCAATTTCTAAAATATTAAGCCTTTTAGCTTAATTTAAACTATCTGTACTACGATTCTATTTTTATTGTTCTTGATATTGATTAAAACATCAATGAATATAATATTTATGTAATATTTTCATGGTAATTATTATATAATATTATATTAAATGCTTTAGGAAATAATAGTTCAATATAAATAGATTATTAAATATTTTCGGAAATAGAGGTTTACTCGAAATATTTTTTCATAGCTATATTATGTATAATTAAAGGAACGTTAAATTCTAGTTCAACTAATCTATAATAGTAATGAAGTAAATTTTTTACAGCAGACCAATAATTCAAGTGAACCCTGATTTTTTTAAAATAACATTTATAATTTTTACAATCTTATATTTTGATTAACTAACTTATTTACACGTAATTTGGTTTATGAGTATTTCTACTTATCAGTTTTCATATTTAAATAATATGTGATTTTTTTTTTTTTTTCAAAAAACATATCTCTGGCCTATGATATTTATTACAAATTATTATTTTTGTAGATGATAAAATTGATAGGTATAACTAGGTACTCATGCATATTTCTTGGTTATTAAGTTATTTTTGAAAAGAGGTGACTCACTAAAAACTTTTTTTTTCTTAACTAATAGCTTTTGATAAAAGAATAAAAATGTATTTTTTTATTGCCATTATTCTTAAAAAAACAGATAACAAAATAATATTAAAATTAATTTAAATCATAATTATTACGAGTAGTATAAGTATCTTACCTTCCAAGTCCTTGCATTATTATTAATTGTATTTATGTAGTTTTTACTTAGAAAATACGTTTGTTCCGATGCACTTAACAAAAATATGAAAGTCACACAACTTGAAAATATTATATTCATTTTAACGATTTAATAATTATTTTTTTGAATTTAAATTGGAAACGTTCTTAGTATGTAAATGCCTATAATACAAAATATTGTAATGACTGGCAAGATACAGACTGTTGTAACTGAAGAGCCGTTTGAAGGGTTTGAATATTAATATAACGTGTATACTGTATAGTACTAACTGATGTATCATAGTATATTACAATTTACAATGATTCGAGTGTATAATGATGCATTTTTTTTTCGATATAAATTAATTATGGTACATAAAAACATAATAAATATTTTGTTGCATATGTTAGACAAGTATCCACTCACGATTACGTTTTTATCAATATTCATTTGAATATTAATAATTTTTAACATATTTTATTACAATTTCATATAGTTTGTTATTAGTTAATATCAAGTATAAATGATATTAAATTCATGATACGTATTTGATTGCTATTTTTTTTTATCCTTATAAATGAATATTTTTATATTTTGAGCAGAGTGACATGTATTGATATTAAAATATCTGTAGATATTTCAAATTTAATAAATACAAATGATACCGCTTATAAGACTCAGTTTAGTAACAGCACAAAATGAGTCTTATAACGAATGAATTTTATAGGCAAAGTGGAAAAAATGGTTTTATTTATTAACTTAATTTTTCTATTCTACTTTTACCATTGCATATAAATAATACTAATACATGTATTAATTTACTTACATTTTAAACTTTAACTATATTAAATGAAATTAGATAATATTGAATATTTAAATTTTACATGCATACAATTTATCATATTTAATATTTATTGAAAAAAAAGTATTTAATCTATTGTAACTAATACTTTTAACTATTCTAAAGATATATTGCTCATACTTGTATTACAATGTTTAGACGCTGACGTTTGCACACGACTATTTGGACGCCAAATCATTTAGACGCTGCCGTTTGGGCACCAGTATATTTGAACGCGAGGACAAAATTATAGTTATTCAATTCTTTATTTTTACTTATACCAATTACAATAAAATATAAATATACGTATATTATAGTAGAATTATCATAAAATATAGTTTATAAGCATACTCGTACATTTTATTTAAATATTTATAATAATAAAATAAATTAATCAATACTAAACGACTTCATGCCTAAACCATAACGTCGATTTCAATAACGTAGGATAAATCCTAATATCGTGATAAAACTATAATATTAATTATAATTATTAATTTTGGCCTTGCGTCCAAATGTAGGTACAGTAGCTCAAACAGCTGCGTCTAAATGACTTCGTGTCCAAACGGCCACGTCCATTTGTCCTAAATCGCGAAGTTGATGATCAAAGTTGATTTTTAAACGATTTTTAATAAATGTGTGACGTCGCAGTGTGTCGTTAGTATAATAATATAATATAGATTTTTAACCACCTTAAGTGATTAATGTAGCTAAAAACGTGAAATTTATATTATTTTATGTTTTATCTTTGGTGGATAAAAATCTGACTGTGTTTTACAATAAAATAAATTAATATTTTCATAAAATATACACTGTATTTTATGTAGTCACATAAGTATTATAGTATATAAATTTTAAGTAGGTAGTGTATAAAGCAATTATTGGCATTATAGGCTAATTTGAAAACAAATATGTCAAATGGGAAAGTTTGTGAAACAATAATTATAACTTAGTTAATATAACATAGAAGTAATTAAGAAATTTCACTAACTATATTTAAATGTTTTAATTTTAGATACTGATTGGAGCCGATAAATATGTATTGATCATATGTTTTTTTTTTACTTTTTTTTCGTCATTTTTTTGGAAAAGTAAAAAATACTTTTATTCTAAACTTTAAAGGTGGTTGTCAGTAAAAAGTTGTATCTAATTACTACTTTAGAAAATAAAATGTAAAAATGCTATGTATTTTTTAAAAATAACCAACAAAAAAAATTAAGAAATAACCAATTGTTAAGCAAAACTAGTATTTGACAAAATCAATTTTGTGTTTTTGGTGTAATGAAAAAATGAATAATCTTAGATACTCGAAATTTTTATCAAATTTTCGTCATAAAAATTTCTACACATAGTATAATTTACAAAATATCTTAGAAATTCTCAAATATTCATTTTTTAAGTAATAAGTAGAAATTTATATTTTTTTTCTATAAATGTTGATAAAATATGTTTTCCTGCATCAAAATACTTGAAAATGTATACAATGTTACTCTTTTACTCTTAAAAAACCCATATTGCAACCAAAATATCTAAATAATATACAACCATATGTACATATTATATATATATATATTTTTATATAGACAATTCAAGTTAAAATTTGTGCCTACAAAATAATATATTCAAATTATGAATAACGATGTTAATTACTTTGTTATTATTAAAAAATATTATTCATAAGGCCAATTTTATGTACATTATGAAATTTAATGTAATATGCAGTGAATTTTTAAAATAATATGTAGATATTATAAATTAATTTTAAGATAATATTATTATACCTATTTATTTCTTCAATCAACTTACAATATTTTATGGTAAGATTGATAAGCATTGCCTTAAAAATTAATAAAAATATCGTAACATAATAAAGCTAATAGTTTTGAAAATAAAAATATGATCAACTTATCGCAATTCGAATAATAAAATAAATTACTTTAATAGCCATATCATAAAATATACTTAATGATGTAGGCTGATAGACAGGTTCCATTCAGAATCGTTTTTCGTAAACAACGATATATGATATAAAAATTCAAATTTAACAAATCCATTATAGTAACCACTAGACACTTTTTGTACAGTGCAGCAGAATACTATTATTTTTCTCACTTTTTTTATTTTTATATTAAGTATTATAATAATTCTTTATTCATAAAGAAATATCTATCATATACTCGTATATATTTTTTTTAACTTTTGTTTAAAATATAAAAGTAAGATAATAAACTACCATAATAATATGCATATACCAGCAAAAAAGTATTTGTAATAAATATTTATTACATCGTGTTAATATATGTCATTTGATGTGTTCATATATGGCACAAGTGCCTACTAACAAAAAAAAAAAAAAATAATCAGATAAAAAACAAAAACTCATTTGTTATTAATAATCAGATTTTGTGGATAACTCTTAAACAAGAAATATTTTTATCACTTAAAACTATATTATAGTCAATTAGGTTCATAAAATTGAAAAATATAAAAGAACAAGTAAAATAATTCAATTAACTTCATAACTTCAGAAAAGTCATGTAAAAAAATAACAGAAGCTGATCAAAAATATAAACAGAAATTCAAAATACATATATACGCCTGATAAGTGTACATAGTGCATTTTTTATAATTAAGACTACTGTTACAAAAACAAGTAATATAATATTACATTACAAGTTACAAAAATTATGCATAACTGTTTTAGTTATTCATCCATCTTAAATAACTAAGAAATAGTTATAATACGCTTCAGTCAAATAAAAAAAAAAATACAAAAATATTAGTTTATTCAGTGAAAACACAAACAATCGTTTATTCATTTAATTAAATGTAGTTACTAGTTAGATTAACAAACTGTAGTTTCTGGTCAGCTTTCGTTGAGTTTAAAAACAAAAGGGAACGACATTATCTAGAACCAGATCTCACTATTTATAAAAATCATGATTTTTTTTGTAAATTTTGCAGAAAACAAAACTAAATTTTTCATCATAATTTATATTTAAGACCGATAGTATATAAGATATTTTTTTAATTTTTTTATTTATTTTACCTAATTTGTAACTTATTTAAAAATTTTAACATTTAGTTACACTTTAATTAAATTTTATTTTTACTTTTCAAGTTTTTGTTTATAATATACTGTAACATAAAGCTGTAAGGAAAATGTATTTGGTGCATAACGCGTAATATTATGATAAAAATGTTATGTAAATGCATAAGTGTAATTAATTAATTAACTGTAATTAATTCTTATAATTCCATGTAAATTTTAAATATACTTAGTAGTTATACAAGTTATCAGGGGAATGCTAATTAGATGAGTAGAGATTCGTTTGTAACAAAATATTATATTTTTGTTAAAAATACTCTTACTTTTGAGAAATAGATAACTAAAGTTGTACAAAAGTTAAAAAGAAAAAGTAGCTATTTGCTAAAAAGAATACAAGAACGAATTCGAATTCTAGATGGGCCCAAAAAAAGTGTTAATGAAACTCAAGCCAAAGGTCTATGTGTGGATAATTCGTATGCCTTTATTCAGTCTCAAATTTAATATTGGTAATAAAATGTAATACACACCTATTTTTGAACATAATAACAATCACCTGCTTAATGTATTTAGAGAAACAACGGATAAAAAATATTTAGTTAAAATATTTTAAGAAGAAAATTATGCTCAAAATGTAAAGAAAAATATTGTAAATTACTATTATTTTATGAAAATGATATGGCCATTCGGTTTATATGGATATTGTCTTAAAAAACTCTTTATCCAATGTGGTCGTGTTAAAAAAAAATGTAGGTACACATTTATTATGAAATATTTAAATATGACGTTATATTAGTGTGTGTGTGTGTTTTTAGTTTACCTCAGTTCACAGACAATTTGCTCACGCAACTTGATTTTTATTAAAATAATTTAACTTTTATCGAAAACAGTTCTGTAGTTTTGGAGAACATAGAAAACAAAAGAATGGTTGATTTATATTCATTTATATACGTAGATAATATATATACATATCTACCAAGATATCAAATTTTTTGAAAATTCAAGTCACAAAATATTATTTCATTATTATATATTATATATTATATTCCTTTGATCACTGTTAGCACTGGGGGATCTAGCTATGTTGTAAAATGTTTATTTCGTAAAACACATATTATTTGTTTTGCAGTAAGTACTTAATTAAGTTGTTAAATTTAATATAAACCATATCTACAATTAATAATTATCAAATAGTTAACTCGATTGAGTGGTTTTTTACCTATTTTTAAAATTTATATTTTTTTTAAATTGTTACATATTTTTGTGATTTTTATCATATTGTATTATAATATAACATATTATGATACATATTCTGTTTTATAAATAAATATAAATGATATGGGATTCCCAGCTATAGGTAGAACACATAAAATTGGTATATCGCATACTATACTCATATTTATAGTTACGTAGC